GACAGTCCCATTCTACAACAGTGGCATCATGTAATATTTGTCCCTTTGTGACTGGGATATTTCACTCAGCATAATGTTCTCCAGAGTCAACCATACTGTGCTTTTAAAAATGTATTTTGGAAACAGAACAATAACATTTATTCATGCATACTGAAAACTGTCAAAGACTTTTCTGCTGCCTCTAGCAGGTTTGAGACCAAGCTCTCAGCCTTAGGGTGTAAGCCATGCTACATGGGATCAAGGAGTCTTTACGTTACTAGAGTGAAAAGAATCTATTCCTTCTGCTTCTGACCACATTACCTTCAGCTTGTTTTCACTGGACTAGAAAAGGAACATGAAAACTACTGTGAGCAGGGAGAGCTTGATGTTTTTATTTGTGGCCAATAGCTTCTTTAACAGATAATGAGATTCTACTAATTTAAGGACAGAAAGTAAGGAAGCCAGAAAGATTGACTCAAAGTAAATAAAGTCAGAGTTGTGGCACTGGGTATCTAACGTATGGGTTTCTGCCACACAATTTGTTTTGTTCATAGATTGTGGAATCAGCACAACAAGCATGGAACTCTGATCTCGCATTAACTGTATTTAATCTATGTGAGTCCCACCTACTTTACCTGTAAAATGGGGTTCCTGAAATAAATGCTTATTATGAAAAATACCATTTAGCTACATACTCTATGCAAATAAGATTTTCATTGTTATTGTTGTTATGTGTCATCAAGTCATCTGTGACTCATAGTAACCCTATGTACAAAAGCTCTGTCATGAGCCAGTTTCACTGTCCCCAACACACCTACCCTCACTATGCCAGTTACTATGTCAACCCATCTCATTCAGGGTCTCCCTCTGCTGCACTGTCCTTCCACCCTTCTAAGCATGATATCCCTCCCTCCTGTATGACATGTCCAAAGTATGCAAGGTGGAGCTTAAAAATCCTTGCTTCCAAGGAGCAGCCTGGTTTCACTCTTTCCAGGACAAACCTGTTTGTTCTCTTAGAAGTCCATATTATTCAATGCTCTTCTCCAGCATCACAACTCAAAGGTATTGGTTAATCTTCTGTCATCTCTAGTCATTGCCCAGCATTCTGGACAATTGCGAATAATTGTGAAGACCATGGCCTAGATCTGATGCACCTGTCTCTAGACTGACATCATTCTTCTTTAGCACTGTAGAGTGATCCCTGACAGAGGATTTCCCCAACATAATTTGTCTTTTGATTACCTGACTGTGGATGCCAAGAGTGTTGATTGTGGAGCCAAGCAAGCTGAAATTGTTAACCACTTCAATCTCTTCACCATCTATCATGGTGCTGCCAATTGGCTTGGTGAGTGGTGATATGCCCTAGAAAGGATGAAGCCAGAGTGCTCCTTGGAAGTTAAGATTTTGAAGCTTCAGCTGTCATACTTTGGACACATAGCTGGGTGAGGTTATCCCTTGGAAAGGGATATCATGCTTAGAAAGGAGGAGGGTCAACAAAGGAGAAGACCTTCAACAAATAGACTGACATGGTGAATTCAACAATGGGCTATAAGGTGTCAGAGAGGATGAGGATGGCATGGGATAGGGCAGGGCTCAGGTCAGCTATTTATAGGGTCGCCATGAGTCCTGCTCTACTTGACAGCACTTAACAACATCTGACTATCACAGGAATACTTTCTACTTCAACCCAGGATACCTCTTGAAATGAGCAACAATTGATATATTAGCATATGTTTAAGATAGAAAATTGGAATGATTCCTAATACCTTTATTATAACTAATATTATGGAATAAGAAGAAATATCTGTCATTTGAGTTATATAAGTGCACACTACAGAATCTTTTTTCTCATTTCCCTTTTAATTAAACAATTCCTTTGCTGTTATGCATGCAGTCAGCTCCAACTCACATCAACACTCTGTGTAACGGAAAGAAATCCTGCCGATTTTGAACTGCCGTGACAATCTCTGTGCTGTCGTTAGGGTCTTCCCCTTCTCTAATGACCGTCCAAGTATGATGACTTTCCAAGTGTGATGTCATTTTCCTGGACTCCTCCTAATAATATGCCCAGAGTAACAGAGACGGGATCTCACCATTTCAGCCTCTAAGAAGCACTCTGCCTTCTCTTCTCCCAAGACACAACTATTTGTTCTTTTAAACCACTCATAATATATTCAATATTCTTCATCAATTCAAAGACATCAACTCTTCTTTAATCACTCTCATTCGTTGTCCAGCTTTCATATGCATATCAATCAAGTGAAAATGCTTTGATTTGGGATAGGTGAACCTTAATCTTCCAAGTGATAACCTTATTAGTTAGCAGTTGAAAGAGGCCTCTAGCAGCAGCAATTATTTTTAGCATGCCAACTTACCTGGTCACTCATGCCATGTCCCAAGTCTTTTCCTTAAAGTAAGAATGATCTCTGGGGTCATGTTATCAATACAAACAGTGTCAGCATAAGCAAAATTACAAATTAGGAATTGTGGTTCCTTCATCTCCTCTTTACAAAATGAGCTTGCAGAGCACAGATTTGTACAGATCAGCCTTCTGAAACAAACGATTGTTTAGGATGGGCTTCAGGAGAAGAATTATCATCTGTAACTCCCAAGCTCATTTGCTGAGTAGATGACTTGGAGACAGTTAAAAAAATTGCTCTTAAATGAATGTAACACATAGGAGAATTTCTGAAAACAATCCTTTATTATTCATTAAAACATTTTGGGGCCTCATTAATTCAGATGGGATAATCAATTGTTGATTAGCCAGGCTATTAAGCATCCATTGTCAGATGCTGATGAGGTGTGAGGAATTACATTCTGGATCACCAAAGAGTCACCTGAAAGCAGTTATCACTTCATCAGGTAAGGCTGTATCTTCTGGGGATAAATTAGCTGCTTTTTAATTCCCTGTCTTTCTTTCCATTTTCCAAACATCTCTATGTATTTCAGAACATTCTTCATTCTGATTTTTTTTCCCTCTTGTCTGTCTAACATCTGAAACTGTATCAGAAGTCATCTTGAAAAGCTAGTTGTATGCATGTCCAGCACAGTAGTGCACAGGGCTGTAGCATTTGGAGACATTTGTTAGGTTTTAGTTGTCATTGATTTTTACAGTGCTTGGTGAGAGCCTCCTCCACACTTTCAGTCCTTCAGCTCCAAATAGTCTGCAGAGTATCAAGAGGATTCTTCTGCTGAGACACTGAAACTCAATTCCCTTCCTCTCCAAATCTAGACCGACTGTCAGTGTCATCTAATGGCAGTGAGCAGAGGAGGCAAAACTCTTGGATCTCAGGGGGTGAAAATACCATTCAGAGACCTGGTTCAATTTTACGAAAGAATGTAGTAAACTACATTCAATTCCAACACATCACCAATACCCTGCCATTTGCAATTTCTTTTTTCCTCAAGAAAGAAATATTCACATTTCCTCTTTGTTTCACACCAAGAAGAGATGAGAGAGTATTTTTTTACGGATAGACAATTTCCCATAGTTTAACACAACGTCAGACCTAAAAATAAGAGAGCTTGCAATACTGTGAAGCATATCTGCAAAGAAGAAGGTCTTTGTTTACTCACGGAACTGCTCTAGATGGTGAATGCTGGTTGACTCAGGCATGGCCGTGATGGTTACCAGTGGACATGGGTTCCCTCCCAGAGTCCGACAAAGAACCGCCTGCCGGAAGTAGACCTGTCTTGGGTTGACACTTTTTTCCAGGAGGTCAAGATGTGTCTGAAGAACAAATGATGCAGAAGTATATTTATTAATAGTTTTGGTAATAACAATAATAGACTTTTGCTGTAACACTTTATTTTATAATTTTAGATCTCTTTGCCATCTTTTACAGTTTAGAAATATTTTTTATTAGCCTGGTGTGCCTAATTGTGGGCCTGAGTTAACTCAACAGTGATTGTCGTTGCGGCTGTTATGTGCCATTGAGATGCCTGCCACCCATAGTGACCCTATGTACAGCAGTTCTAAACTCTGCCCTGTCCTGAGCCAATCTTACTAATTCCAAAACACCAACCCCATTGCCTCAGTCACTGTATCAATCTGTCTCATCTGATGTTTTCCTTTCTGATTATTACCCTCTAAATGAGCTCTGTTAACACAGTGATAAATAATTTTATTGCTAACCAAAATTTTATTGGCTGAAAATCACTCACCAGCTCCTCTGTGAGAGAAAGATGTAACAATCTCCTTTTATAAAAATTTCTGAACCTACAGATCAGTTAGATTCTGTCCTTTTAGATCCCTATCTATCAGAACTGACTGGATAACAGGAGGTATTGTTACCTATTGGTGTTATTGTTAGGCGGCATCAAGTCAGCTGTGGCTGATAGCAACCCTATAAACCACACATCTGACCCTTATCCCTTCTTATGCCATGCCCACTGTCTCACATATGCTTGAGTCCATTGTTATAGTCTGTGTCAATCCTTCTTGGTAAGGGGCTCCCTTGCTTTCTCTTGCTCAACCTTTTCCAACATGATGTCTTTTTCCAAGGATGCCCCTTCTGACAACATCCTCAAAGTATGTGAGATGAAGTTTCCCCATCATTGCCTCTAAGGCACCCTGATTGAACTTCCTAGGAGACGTTTAATTAGGCCCAGTTGGAAGTATCAATCCTACAGGTTTCTGTTGGCAGGAAAACAAGATCTGCTTTCAAGATGCATTAAAAGCAAAAGGCCACACAAAGCTTTCTTCCCTTCACCATGTTGTTGTTTTTTGGTATCTTGAGTCTAGTATGACCCTGTGAACAACAGAACAGAACCTTGCCCTCTCCTGTGCCATCTTCATCATCACTGACACCTGAGATAATTGCTGCCATCACTGTGTCAGTCTATCTCACTGGGGGTCTTTCTTTCTTTTGGTGACCCTCAATTTATCCAAAAATGATGTGCCTTTCCAAGAAATAGCCTCTCCTAGACAAAGCTTTGCTGTCCTTTCCTCCAAGGGACACTCTGGCTCCACTTTTTCCAAGACATATAGGTTTGTTCTTATGGCAGTTCAGGGCATATTGAGTAATCTTATTCAACACCCCAATTCAAAGGCATCAAGTTCTTATTTTATCCTTATTCATTATCTAGGTCTCACATGCATAGCAAATGATTGAAATGACTATCAGTAAAATCAGGTGTACTTCAAACTGGCATTATTATTATGTATTTTGGAGAGTTTCCTGACCGCATACTAGCCCTATATAATATATCTCCTGATATCCTGACTGCTGGTACCAAAGATGTTGATTGTTGATTCCTAAAAGACTTCATTTCCTTCTCTATCATGGTATTGTCTACAGATGCAGCGATGAGAACCTGTTTTCTTGATGTTGAGATGTAATCAATACTGCAGGCTGTCGTCCTTGATCTTCTGTAGTCAGTGTTTCAAGTCTTCCTCACTTTGAGCCATTTTTGTATAATATTCAGCAATATTTTGCTTGCATGTGATATTAAGAATATTGTTTGATAGGTTCCACATTCTGTTGTGTCACTTTTTTTGGGAATGAGAACAAATAGGATATGATCAATGCTGTGACCAAATGCCCACAAAGTTCCTTCGGAAAGTGATACACAAAAACGTTATCAGCAAATAGTTATTTTAGGACAACCTGGTTTAGAAAACTAGAAAACAATTGACCTAATGGACTGCTAATAACTAGTACTGTTATCAGTTACTATTGGAGTAACTCTAAGTCATCACAAATCAATATGTGTAAAAGTAGAACTCTATAGCATTGCCAATGGCTGGTTTTTTCAAAGCACACTGTCACGTTTTTCTTTTGTGATTTTCTTCTAAGTGGACTTGAGCCTTCAAACTTTGAGTTAAGAGCCAAGTTTGTGAACCAATTGTATTACTCAGGGATTCCAAGAAAACAACCACCCAGAAGCAATCAACTTTCCCCATCATTCCCTTCAATTTATATACTCCATATGGGGAGGTGGGTGGAGACCAACAAACAGAAATGCACAACAGAATAGCTAGAAGAGAAGTGGAATAGCCACTGAACAGTCATCTTTAAGCCTCTGAAGATATTTTCAGAAATATTTGCAGGTATGAAGAAGTGAAGAGATTTTTTTCCATCTCAAATGCTCACCCTGACAGAGGAGATACAGGACTTCAGAAACCTGAAAAAGAAAGGTTGCCCCTCCACAGCATAAGAACAGCAGTGCCCAAAGATTATCTTCCCAGGCTAAGATCTAAGGTTTTCATCACAATTGACTATGTATTAACTAACAAGGCCAGAGAGAAGCTACCCGCATTGTTTGTTGACAAATTACAAGCATGCTAGACAAATGAAAGGAAAACAAGCAAACATAAATCCTATGAAAATGTTTCAGCATATAAAAGGGGAGTAGTGCCCTCAAAAGGTAGAAGAGGAGTTTACATGCAGAGAGGATTTCCCAGGGCTTCTGGAATGGGCCTGGCCAGCTCCCCAGCCCACCACTGCTGCCTGGCCTGGGCCCCTCGCCCTCCAGGTGTTTGTAAGAGCGTGAGCCTTTCCTTGTCCTCAGAATGCAGACAGAGCTTCCGCTCCACATTGTGCCTCTGGACTCATCAAACCTCAATGGCCTCCTCCCTGTTCCACCCTCCCTTCCTCACCCTCTCTGCCTCACCATCCACCTTTTTCTGCTCCCTATCACCTCAGACATCTCCGCCACCATCCTATCAAATTTATCCTCAACCCACATAGCCCCATTTTTATATCATAATTTTGTTAAAATGCCAATTACTGTGAGAACTCAAAGAATCCTAAATAAAGTGATCTGTGGGTGCAAAAGCAAAACAAAACATAAAAAAAGAATTTACCACAGGTGTGGTAAGAAGAATGAGAATTATCAGTTCTGATGCATGGTGACTCTCACCATCAGGTATCTGAGGTTAAAATCTTCATGGGACGAGATGGCTTATCCTTTGTCCACGGAGTCACTGATGGGTTTGAACTGCTAGAGATGTGTTCCCCTTCAGTTAGCAGGGCAGCATTCTACCGAACATGCTGCCTGCCTCTCTCTCTTTCATCTCTATCTATCTCCATCTCTATCTCTATCATCTCTCTTCCAATAATTAAGAGCCAACTCACAGTTGACCCTCCAGTAGGTTTTTAAAGGCTATAAAAAGCATGAGAAGAGATGGTTATCCTTCTCCAAAGGAGCAGCTGGTGGACCCAAGCCGCCTGCCTTTAGGTTTTGTAAGGCAATCCCCTACCCACAAGACCACAAGAGCTCCCTATGCCACCATCACTTTGGGAATTGAAGATTGTTATTGTTGTCCTTGTTAGGTGCCATCAGGTTGACTACTATTCATAGCAACCTCATAAACAACAGATTAGAACGTGGCGCTATCTTGCCCGATTCACATGACCTCCAATATGCTCAAGTCCATCCTTCAAACCAGTATCAAGTCATCTTGTTGAGAGTATTCCTCTCAATTTCTAACCCCTTCACTTTTCTTAGCATTAATGATTAATGACAACCTTGGAATAGGGAGTCATTCTTGAATTATTTATTTGAGCCCAATCTAAATTATGTTATCGCGGCCACTGAGTTAAATTTAACTCATAGGGAAATCAGATGGCAAAGCAAAATTGCCTCCTAGGATTCCTAACCTGTAATCTTCACAGACACAGAGCAATAGCTTAAACTGGGAACTTATCAGTTCACACTAAATCATTGGGCCACCACAGCTCCCAATCTTGAGTTCTTTAAAAAAATTACCTTTTTTGTCTGCAGAGAACTGGAGGGATGATAATACAAGAAGGACTAAACCTCCATCACTAGGTTTGAAGATGAAGAAGAGAACATGGGCAGAGAAATACAAACTGCCCATAGAAACTGGAAAAGAGAAATAATCCTCCCCTAGAGTCCCCAGAAGCAACACCTTCTAAGTCCTGCAAACACTATAATTTTTCCCAGTGAGACCCTTAATGAATTTCTAGCTTACTAAACTGTAAGATACTTTTTTTTTTTACTGTTTAAAGTGCTTAACTTGTGGTGATTTTTTATAGAAACAAGATACAATGAATATGTCTAGAAACTGGAAACATTTCCTAAATTCTACAAAAACCCTCACATTTGGGTAGAGAATAGTGAAATACTTGTGTTCCAAGGTAAAATTAAAAGTCACAAAGAAAGAAAAGATTACCAAATAAATCTGTAACTTATCTGCTAATTTACAGGATAGCTGAAAATGTAACCCTGAATCATATCCTTGTACCAGTGAAACCCAAGGATCACAATCATCTATCCCAACACAGTTTACTCTTCAGTGTGATTTTATTACTCTCCTATCTTCATTATTATAGCTGCACTCTCCAGGAAAACTCTTGCCCAGGGGAAGAAAATCGGCAAATAAATCAATCTATTCTTCATTGAAAAAATATCAATGAATAATTTGATCCAAGGCTCTTTGAACACCTCTCCTCAAAATCCTTGCCTCGCTGTGTCTACCAATTCTAAAATGCTGTGTCATAATTCTCCTTCTGTGAAAGTCTTTCCTTGTCTTTTGCCCATTTTGTAGTTGGATTATCAGTCTTTTTCTTGTGGAGGCCCTGTAGGATTCTATAAACTTTTGTTATGAGACCTTTGTCTGAGATGTCATTGTCAATTTTTTTTTTTGTCCTTGTCAGTAGGCTTTCTTTTCACCTTATCAGAAAAAGGTTTTGATGCACACAAGGGCTTAATCTTTAGAAGCCCCAATTATCCTTGTTATCCTCTCCTGGCTGTACATTTCTG